GGATTCTACAATAGAAGAACATTAAAAAAAAAGCATATTATTTGACCAAAATATAACTCTCCATTCAAATAATTAAATTTATTTGATTATGGGTTAAACTTAATTAACAATAATATTTCTAAATGTAGCTTCCGAGGGTGCAATATACGTCAGATAGATTTGGTTGAATAGTGATAACAATATGCAATAACTATTCCAAAAAGCATGAGCAATAATGTAGCATTTAATAGTAATGAATAACAATAAATGGCATTTAAGTAAATATTAGGAATGATTCACCCGATAAAGAATGAACTAGATGATTGTTCCTCCTGACAATGATGAGTGACAGATAAATCCTTGAATGTTCGAAGATTTCTCGGATCTGATGGAGAAGTATAAAATAATATACACAAGAATCTTAATGAAAATGTGGTTTTATATCTTAGTAAGAGAGAGAAAATCTTTTTGTCAAAAGTGTATTCTTACAAATGAATATAACATACCTTTATCATTGTCTCTATTTTCTATATATATGAGACATGTTCCTAAAAAATCAGTACAAGTACAGAGAATATTCTCTTTTAATACCTTATCCTGATAAACTAGCCGTTACAACTCCCCATCAACGATATTCAACCTCGTCCTCGACCCTCGTCGACAATTCGACTACGACTCTCGTCGACAACTCGACTACGACTCTCGTCGACATCTCAGCTAAGGACTTTGCAGCGTCTTGACCCATCTCTACCGACGACAACTCAAGAATTCCTTTTTTAATATTATCTTGCCTCAAACATTATAAGAGCGTATTTCGGTATTTTGACCCATACACGTATATCAAGAACATTCTCATAGGATATTCCAAATTATAACACACTTTTACAACTTCAGGTCAAGAAATCCTAGCTACTTGGTGCCTAGAATAGTCAACGATTCATCACTATCGTTACGATCCTCTACGTAGCAATTCTCTCTATCCATTCACCAACAGAGGCGGATGCAATGTATTACCTACGGGTTCAACTGAACCCATAACTATCGATGCGGAGTAGAAATTTGTAAGTAAAAATTCATTAAAATTACAAAAATAGTAGATTTGAACCCATAACTTTAAAAATATAATGGGTTCAATGTTAAATTTTTTAAAATTGAACCCACAAAATTTAAATCCTGGATCCGCCTCTGATCACCAATAAAGAATGATATTAGGAGTGTAAGAAATTAGTTCTTCATTTTTACCCTAATGTGTGTATTTGTATACAAACACAAAAGTAGGCTCTATTTTATTTTATTTTGCTAGCAAAGCTAAATGAGATGAACTAACATAATAAATAAAGAGAAATTAAAGAAAAAATTGTTTTCAGTGGAAAATGGTGGTCGGTGATGATGGCGAGTGCTGGAGAAGTAATTCGACGCAGCAGGGGAAAGAGTGGGGCAGATAATAGATGCAAAACATACAATGCTATACTTTGTAGTGAATTTGCTGACAGCGACTTCTAAGTCACTTGAGTGAACGCGACTTATAAATTGCATTAGCAATTACGACTTTTAAATCACATTTTATACTCTGCATTACCGGAACTGTAAAATGATAAGAGTTGCATGTTTGAATGAGATTTATAAGTCGCAAATGCGATTTACAGGCAACTGCAAACAACTGATTAAGAGCTATTTTCTTTGGGAAAATTAAACAAACAATCCGCATGTGGAGCCTGAGCGTTTTGGATAGAGGAAAATCATTCTTCTCTTACTTATAAAATAAATCCCTTGCAAAAGCTAGCAAGATTATAATCAGCTATTTATCCACCAATTTTATGCTTTCCTTTTCCTTCCAAACAGAACAACGTGTAATAAAATATCAAAATTTTCAGTACTTAAGTAATAGATATAGCAAGTGCACAGCCAATCAAAGTGATATGCAATTGAAACTGGAAGAAGAATTAATCTTAGAGCACAATAAGATGGAAAGAAACACAGAATCAAAATCATTAATAGAAAGACATTAATTTTCACCTTTTACTACTCATCTGCAAAACTATAACATAATACCATAATGGGTGCATGAACACCAGAAGTTTTTGGTTCTACTACTGCAACATGTTTTGGATCAACAACTTGTAGTGGATATTCACTAGAAGAAGAGCCATTCACCATTTGCTGGAACATTATGGTTAGTACAGTACAGTAAGGTTAACTATGTTGTTTGGATACTGGTTTTTAGATCAAAGTATTGAAGACCACATGATTCATAATATCCCTATTTATACATGTTTGATCATTTATTAAGTAGAATTAATGTTTTTGTTTACCCTAAACCACTGATCTCATTGACTAAGCATGCCTATTGCTTTTTCAACACAATCTGATATACTTGAACTTCTTCTGCTGATTGGTTTAAAAACATAGCATAGCATGGGGATACTTAAGTAGACTTTATGGTTTTGTATACCCCAAAAAATAATCCTCATCTTTACAAGAATTGTTAGTTATCTTTTCAAGACAATTCGACTGTAACATGCTTTGAACTTCTTGTTCCAATAAAGACAATTAATGCATCACAAAAAACACTGTAACTTCTTCTATGGATAGTGTGAACATCATATCTGATCTAGAGAAATACTTAAAAATGTAACTGTTGTGTTGCTCATTACTAAAAAAAAAGGGAAATCGACTGCCAAAACCGACCGATGTTGGTCGGTAATTAGCAAAAATCGACTGAAAATCGATCGATTCGTGGTTGTCGGTAATTGTATGGTCGGTAGAGCCAACCGATTGACTTCGATCGGTATTTTACGACCGATTTCGGTCAGTCAATTATATTCCAAAAATGAAATTATTGCCCAAAAAACAGACCGACGTCGGTCGGTAGTTTTAATTATGTAATTAAAAAATGCACCATCTGGGAATCAAACCGCGGTCCGTACTGTGGCAGGATACTATTCTATCACTAGACCATTAGTGTATTTTATTTTAAGACTGTTGTTTACTCGGAGAAACGGATATAGTTAAATTTATAAGTAGTTCTAAGGATATATGATATAACTTTGACACAAATCGTACAGAGAAATAGAAGTGTGCAGATTATTGACTATAGAAACTGGAGATGAATTATTAAACAAGAAGAATGAGTATGCTCAAGTAAAAGAAGCTCCTGAGATTTCTGTTTCAATAGGAGAAGTAAATCTTTGTTACAATATCCCTCTCATGCTTACAATAATCCTCCCTTTGTAATGGAGGGATGCAATTTTATTAATAATAATAAAAAAAAATATATAGTGGAGAGCCCATGATAAATTATTTTTTTCCTAATTCCTGCCAAGATTCTCTCCCTTAGTGCAGTTATAATGGCCTTTGTCTGTGAGCTCGATACTGACTCGAACTCGATATTTGGATTGGGCCATCGGCCTCGACTCGAGCTCGATCCTGACTCGGAGTCTTGACATTCGGGGTGGATGTCGATCAGTCTGTGCATCTTTGGTAACCTTCGCATTGCCTCGTGGTTTGTTTTGGTTATGTGCCCGATAATGACACCGAGTCGATCCTTGATCGGTCTTGGAGATCGAATTATGATGCCCTCACTTCGGACCTCGACCTAAGCTTACGCAGATACCTTTCGATCGAAGTATTATAATCCCAACCAGTCCGTACGACTGACTAATAGGTTTCGACTGTATACAGATAGTCCCCTCATTTCTCGGGAAAGATGTGGCGAGAAACGACATGATTTCCAACGGTATGATTAGACATATACTGACGTCAGCATTAAGTCTGACCATGACGCACGTGGTAGCTGTCCCGTCGATTCAGCTTACCAAGGCATTTAATGCGTGTCAGTCGATGTCGGCCATTATGCAAGATCGAACCTCCTCTGTTTAGCCTATAAATAGCCCGTTCCTAAATCAAACTTAATCCATTACTCTAACAAAAAAACCCAAATTTTTTTACTCTTTCCGCCTCTTTCGCCGCTTGTAAAGCCACCTTCAGCGTTTGACACCATCATCCTTCTATCTTCCTTTGCTTTTCTTTTTCTTATATCAATGGCAAAAACTTCAAAAACCGTACCGCAGAAGGAGAAAGCTTCCTCTTCCCGGCCATCCGGCGACAAGGCGCCGGTGGAGCCGCCTCCCCACGAGTATGTTCCTGGCCCGTGCATTCTAAAGATCGACTTTAAGGTTAAAAATCCTTCGTCGGTTCCGGGCCGATGTGAGCATGTGTCGATGTACATGTGCTCGATAATAGAGGGCAACGTCGAGGCCGTGAAGAAAGACTGCAACTGGGGTCCCGAGGTCGTGCTGCAAATTCCGTCTCCCGAAGAGAGCATCATCACTCACGTGGAAGGATTTTTAAGTGTTTATACTTATCCCTTCACGTTAGGTCCCGTCGACCCAGTGATCATTGATTTTTGCAAAAGATATCAGGTTACCCTCGGCCAAATTCATCCTTCTCTATGGCTCATAGTAATCTTACTCCGCTTCTTCTCCAATAAGGTCGGGGGCTGGATTTTACTCTAAATCACCTCATACGATTGTATCGGCCTCAAAATTTTTGAGGACTAATCAGGCTCCACCGTCGGGCGACGAAAGCCTTAATGTCGAGCATCAATGATGACAAGGATCGGGGTTGGATGGGCCGCTTTATTCAGGATGCCACAAGCGGGGTTGGATCGGGGTTGGATCGGCCTCCGATTCTATCTGATATCTCCCTATGATACACAGTTGTCCCTTGGATGCCACAAGCAGTACCCGACCTCGAGGGTTGGGTTCGGAAGCTAGCCTCGACCTCCTCTTATGCCGAACGCGCTTGGCGTGATTTGGCAAAAGGTAGATGGGAAGCCAAGAATCACGGTAAGGGTCACTTTTCATGTTTTTTGAAACATTTTTACTCTCCATTTGTTACTGATTTCCTTTCATGCAGGCGTGACCAAGGATGTCATTTTGAGGCCTTCGAGTGGTGAGGAAGGAACCAAGTCCCCGATTCCGAAACCGGGGAAAGATAAAAAGCGAAAAACTATTTCTCAGTAAGAGGACCCCAAGCCCAAAACTCGAAAGGTGAAGAAGAAGAAGGTAATCGCTCTTGCGGCGGACTAAGGGATGAAGAAGAAGAAGAAGAAGAGGATGCTTTGGCACTGGTGGTTCGATCTGCGAAAGCTATCGAGGTCGCCAAACCTTCTGAGCCGATGGAGGCTATACCGGTCGGGGTCGGTTCTGATACCCCGATGCTCGATCAAAGCGCTCTGAGTGATTCGCTCGGGACCATGATAGAGGGTCGTTTGCCTTCTCTTCCGACCTTTTCTGAGGAGGTATCAAGTGAAGCTCGAGAATTGAAGACCCCCGATATGGGCGGAAGCTCTAGTGTAGGGGATCCTTTTTGGGATTGCTTTACTAGAGTCGATGATGCCTCCGATATTAGTGACGCTTCTATTCTTCTAGAAGAGGCCCAACATTTCATTTCTCGGGTAATGATTTTACTACGCTTGGTTTCTTTGTTTTTTTCTAAACCTGACTTGCGTTCTTTTGTGTAGGCCATTAGCAAGTTTCGAGCCGATCTCAGCCAATGTGAGGTCAAGCTTTAAAAGATCTCGGGGGAGATAGATGCTCTGCAGCTTCTTTGCGGCCAAAAGGACGAGGTTATAAAGGACCTCCAAGCAGATCTGGTCAAGGCTCGTGAAGAAGAGGCCGAACTAGATAAACAGGTAAGCCTCGTTCTGTTAGAGTATGGATTCGACCCAACTGTGAAAGCTAACCCTTCATTGTCTCAGCTACAACAAAAGGTTTAAAGGATCGGGTTGCTTCGGGAAAACGTCGATCAGATCAAGGCCGAATGCCATCGGTGGAAGGAGACTATCGACCGCCTGGCTGCAGAAAAAGAAACTATCTTGGCCAAACTATTATCGGCCAATGTTCAGCTTCGAGGCATCAAGCAAAAACGTTCGGCTCAGGACAAGAGGATCGAGGAGCTTGAAACAAGGCTTGTTGAGGCCAAGGCGGAGATTGAGCCATCGAAAGTCATGACGGGCAAATCTATTTCTATGTATCATGCCGATGTCGAGGCTATTCAAATGCAGCTAAGGGAGTCTTATGACCTAGAGCAATAGGTTACTGACTTGGCAAAGTGCCAATCCCGTAGGGAAACCCTCGAGGAAATCCACACTCGAGGTTTTGAACTTTCCGAGGAGATTGCCCGAGCCAAGGCGCTCGAAATTGAAGCTAGTCAGCTTGTTTCCTTCGACGATGAAGACGATGCTGAGGAAGGAAGTCAGGGAGGGTCCGATGAGGAGCCTGAAGGAGAAGCAGTTCCCGAAGGAGATATTGACTCCGGCCGCAGTTAGGACTTATTTTCCCCTTTCTCTGTACATACCCCCTTTTGTTAATAACAAAGCTTCTTTTGGATGCCTTCTTAGTTTCAACGTGCTTTTGCTTTTGTCAAGATTTTGTTATTGCAACCTAGTTTTTTGGCGGTTCTTTGAGCTGAGTTATCTTGAACTTTGGAGTAATGGAACCCCTTTTTTCTCCGATTTAAGTGAGAAAAGAGCCTTAAACTCTCGCTGTGTTGGTACCTAAAGCTCAATAATTGAGTGAGTAATTATTTTGAGCTTGAAGTAAGATAGCCCTTAGGCTTAACAGTTGAGTGGGTGATCGTTCGAACTCGAACTCATTGCGTTACAACTCGTAGGCCTTTTATGATCGAGTGAGTGGTTTGCTCGAATTCCATGTAAGATAGCCCTTAGGCTTGATAGTCGAGTGAGTGATTGCTTGAACTCGAACCCGAAGTGTCGTAGCCCGTGGGCCTTTTATGATCGAGTGATTCGTTCGAACCCAAAGTAAGATATCCCTTAGGCTAAATAATTGTGTGAGTGATTTCTTCAAACTCGAACTCAAAGTATCGTAGCCTATAGGCTTTTTATGTTCGAGCGATATGTTTGAACTCGAAGTAAGATAGCCCTTAGGCTTAATAATTGAGTGAGTGATTGCTTCGAACACGAACTCAAAGTATCGTAGCCCATAGGCTTTTTATGGTCGAGTGATATGTTATAACTCGAAGTAAGATATCCCTTAGGCTTAATAATTGAGTGAGTGATTGCTTCGAACTCAAACTCAAAGTATCGTAGCCTGTAGGCTTTTTATGGTCGAGTGATATGTTCGAACTCGAACTCAAAGTATCGTTTGAATCACGATATAGGAAGATCTTTTCCAAAATATGAGATATTTGAAAAGAAGTTTTCCTTTATAAGTCATTATACACGTGTTTGTATCTTGTGCCGGGATTCGAGCAGAACTACGTGGGCATGGTTTGTTTTGACCATTTGGCCCTTACATTTTTCTCCATCGAGACCCTATCCGGCATGAATTGGAAATAACTTTCTTGTGTCGAACTTGATTTATTCGATGGTGAGGATGATTATGAAGAAGCCTCAGATACTATTGAATTTCCCTCAAGTAGCACATAGTTGTTTCCTCGTTAAAAACCTTGCCGGAAAAAATCCATTCGAGACAAAAACCGAACCAAGGAAAAAAAGAGTACAACGCATGCNGAGAGAGAGAGAGAGAGAGAGAGAGAGAGAGACAATAGAAAGGAAAAAATTATACCTTAACAATAATATTGTTTAAGAAGCGATATGTTCCAACTGTTTTGTAATGTTTTGCCATTCATTGTTCCCAGTTTGTAAGACCCTTTTCCGACTATATCGAGGACTTGATAGGGTCCTTTCCAGTTTGGGCCGAGCTTCCCTTCATTAGGATCTCGAGTATTGATGGTGACCTTCCTTAGGACCAAGTCTCTGGCCTTGAAATGGCGGAGTTTAGTCCTTCTATTTTAGTACCTCTCGATTCGTTGTTTTTGTGCAGCCATTCGAACCCGTGTTTCTTCTCGTTTTTCATCTAATAATTCGAGGCTATTATTCATAGCCTCGTGGTTCGACTCTTCCGATGTATGTCGGAACCTTGCGCTGGGTTCTCCGACTTTGATTGGGATTAAAGCTTCGAAGCCATACACTAAGGAAAACGGAGTCGCTCCCGTACTGGATTTAGATGTTGTCTGATATGCCCAAAGGACCTCGGAAAAAATTTCTCTCCACTTTCCTTTAGCTTCATTCAATATTTTCTTCAGGTTTTGTATGATAGTTTTGTTCATTGATTCGGCCTGTCCGTTCCCACTAGGATGATATGGTGTTGACAATATTCTTTTTATTTTATGGTCTTCGAGAAATTTTATCACTTTACCGCCGATAAATTGCTTACCATTGTCACATGTCATTTCTGCTGGTATCCTAAATCGACACACGATGTGATCCTAGATGAAATCTATAACCTCTTTCTCTCTCACTTTTTCGAATGCATGTGCTTCAACCCATTTAGAGAAATAGTCAGTCATAAACAAAATAAATTTAGCTTTACCCGGGGCCGATGGTAGAAGGCCGACGATATCCATTCCCTATTTCATGAATGACCATGGAGAGATGACCGAATGAAGCTGCTCTCCGGGTTGATGGATCATCGGTGCAAACCTTTGACATTTATCGCATTTTCGAACGAACTCCTTAGTATCTTTTTCCATGCTATCCCAGTAGTATCCTGCTCGGATGATCTTGCGAATTAGTGGTTCGGCGCCGGAGTGGTTTCCACAAGTTCCTTCATGGACCTCTCGTAAAACATAATCGGTGTCTCCTAGTCCCAAGCACACTGATAGTGGTCCGTCAAACATCCTTTTGTATAATGTTCCATCTTCAATCAACGTGAATCGAGCAGCCTTGGTTCGTAGAACCCTCGATTCTTTAGGGTTCGATGAGAGTTTTCCGTTCCTTAAGTATTCAATATACTTATTCCTCCAATCCCAGATTAAGCTCGTGGAATTTATCTCGGCATGCCCCTCTTCGATTATAGATCTCGAGAGTTGAATGACAGTCCCTGAGTCAATCTTATCTTCTTCGACCGATGAGCCCAGATTTGCGAGTGTGTCGGCCTCACCGTTTTGTTCTCGAGGCACATATTGTAGGGTCCATTCTTTGAAACGGTGTAGAGTTACCTGTAGTTTGTCCAATTACCTCTGCATCCTATCTTCTCGGACCTCTAAAGTTTGTTTACTTGATTCACCACTATCAAAGAGTCACATTTGGCTTCAATGACTTCTGATCCCAGGCTTTTAGCTAGCCCATGACTTGCAATTATGGCCTCGTACTCGACCTCATTGTTAGTTAATCTAGTGGTTTTGATGGATTGCCTAATAATGCCACCCATGGGAGGTTTTAATACGATGCCAAGCCCGTATCCCTTCACATTTGAAGCACCATCTGTGTAGGGGGTCCAAACCCCCGATGATGTACCCGATTTTAATAAGAGTTCCTTTTCAACTTCGGGTATGAGGGTTGGCGTAAAATCGGCCACGAATTCCACTAAAATTTGGGAATTGATGGTCGTACGAGGCTGATATTCAATATCGTACCCACTGAGTTCGACGGCACATTTGGCCAGTCGGCCCGATATTCGGGCTTGTGTAAGATGTTGCGAAGTGGGTAAGTGGTTAAAACGCATACGCGGTGACATTGAAAGTATGGTCTTAACTTTCTAGAGGCGCTTATCAGTGCAAGCGCCAATTTCTCTAAGTATGGATATGTAGTTTCCGCTTCCCCTAAGGTTCGACTTACATAATAAATGGGAAATTACGTACCTTACTCTTCTCGAACTAGGACACCACTTACCGCGATTTTCGATACCCCTAAGTATAAGTAAAGATTCTCATCTATTTTCGAAGTGTGAAGTAGTGGTGGGCTCGATAGGTACCGCTTCAGTTGTTCTAGTGCATGTTGGCATTCCGGGGTCCAGGCAAAATCATTCTTCTTTTTTAGTAGAGAGAAGAATTTATGGCTTCGATCAAATGACCTTGAAATGAATCAGCCTAAGGCAGTTATCCGTCCGGTTAGCCTTTGTACTGCTTTCACATTATCCACAATGGTGATGTCTTCGATGGCCTTGATTTTGTTGGGGTTAATCTCGATTCCCCGATTCGATACCATGAAGCCAAGGAACTTGCCCGATCTAACCCCGAAAGCACATTTCTCGAGGTTGAGTTTCATGTTGTATTTCCTTAAGATTTTGAACGTTTCCTGCAAATGAGTCAAATGGTCCTCTACGCGTAGGGACTTAACTAGCATGTCATCAATGTAAACTTCCATCGACTTACCTATTTGTTTCTCAAATATTTTATTCACTAGGCGTTGGTAAGTAGCTCCTGCATTTTTTAGCCCGAATGGCATTATATTGTAACAATAGGTTCCATACTTAGTGATAAATAAAGTTTTTTCTTGGTCCTCCGGGTTCATGCGAATTTGATTATACCCGGAATAGGAATCGAGAAATGTGAGGAGCCGGCTGTGGCATCGATCAAGCGATCGATGCTAGGCAATGGAAAAGAATCTTTGGGGCATGCTTTTTTTACATCTTTATAATCTACACACATTCTAAGTTTGTTCCCTTTTTTGGAGACAACAACCACATTGGCTAACCATTCGGGATATTTTACTTCCTGAATTGATCCTATTTTGAGAAGTTTATTTACCTCATCCTTTACAAATGCGTGCTTTACCTCGGACTGAGGTCTTCTTTTTTGCTTCACCCGTTTGAAACTAGGGTCCAGGCTTAGCTGGTGCATTGTTATCGATGGTGAGATCCCCGCCATGTCTAAATGGGACCAAGCAAAATAATCTATGTTATCAATAAGAAATTGAATACGTTTTTTTTTTTGAGTTCGAGGGTCAACCCCATTCCCAGGTATACCTTTCTCTCGGGCAGATGTCCGATTAATATAACCTGCTCCAGCTCTTCCATCGTTGACTTGGTGGCATCGGAGTCGTCGGGGACGATAAAAGCTCGAGGCATCGAAAACTCTTCCTCGTCATCTTCTTTTTCATCCTTCACTGATTCGGTTGAGACTGGTGGCTGTGATTGATATTTGGTTTCTCGTTTATCTTTTGTGCTCGATCTTTCTAAGGCCGATAACGTTGGTATCGGTGTTACTCCATCGACCGCAAACATTTTCTTCGCAGCATGTTGCTCCCCGTATACTATTTTCACACTGTCCGTCGTAGGGAATTTCATCACTTGGCAGAGAGTCGAAGGCACTGCCCTCATACTGTGGATCCAAGGCCTTCAGAGTAGGGCGTTGTACCTCATGTCACCTTCGATTACGTGGAACATGGTATTTTGGATGGTTCCAGCCATATTCGTGGGCAGAATAATTTTCCCTTTTGTTGTTTCAATGGCCATATTGAAGCCGTTTAAGACACGAGCTGCGAGCACGACTTGATTCTGCAAACCGAGCTACTCCACTACCCAA